CAGGCTCCAAGCTGTCAGCACAGAGCCCGACGCGGGGCTCGAATCCACAAACCCATGAGATCATGACCTGAGCCGAAGTCGGACGCTTAACTGAGCCACTCAGGCTCCTGAGTCCATTTATTTTTTAAAATTTACAGTTAAACTTGAAAGAATACACTAATTCCACTTAAAAAAAAAAAAGAGGAGGGGCATGCAAACACTTTAGTGTGAATTAGCCAACTACAAAATGCAAGGTAGAGAATTACTTCTATTTGAAGACAAGAAATCACAAGTACCTTTATGGGGGTTCAGGGTCGCTCCTGTGCATAAAAACATCACGCCCCTCATTCCCCTTTTCTAACCACTTCAAGTCCTCCAAAGTTCTGCAATCTGATTTGCAGGAACAGGCAGCGCGCTCCCCCCAGACCTCAGCACAGCGCTAAAAACTCCCGGTAGCTGACAAGTGTACAGGCAGCCCTGCACCATTTTCCTTTAAGGCGAAAACGCAGTAGCCTGCCACCTTGTGGAAACAAGAGGTAACAACACTTCATCTGAAGCGTCAGTGCAGCTCCCTAACAGAATAACCTACATACGGCTGAAGAAAAGAGAAAAGCATTCTAACAGGCACATGAAAAGATGCTCAACGTCACTCATCATCAGGGAAATACAAATCAAAACCGCAATGAGATACCACCTCACACCCGGTCAGAGTGGCTAAAATTAACCACTCAGGAAACAACAGATGCTGGCGAGGATGTGGAGAATGGGGAACCCTCCTGCACCGTCGGTGGGAATGCAAACTGGTGCAGCCGCTCTGGAGAACAGTATGGAGGTTCCTCAAAAAACTGAAAATAGAACTACCCTCTGACCCAGCAACTGCACTACTAGGTATTTATCCAAAGGATACAAAAATGCTGATTTGAAGGGGCATATGCACCCCAGTATTTACAGCAGTAATATCAACAATAGCCAAAGTATGGAAAGAGCCTAAATGTCCATCAACTGACAAATGGATAAAGAAGATGTGGTTTATGTATACAATGGAATATGTTCCATCGTGATGAAAAAGAATAAAATCTTGCCAGTGGAGCAGTGTGGATGGAACTAGAATGTATGATGCTAAGCGAAATAACTCAGAGAAAGACAAATATTATGTGATTTCACTCATAAGTGGAATTTAAAAAACACAACAGACGAACCCAGGGAGAGGGAAGGCAAAATAAGATAAAAACAGAAAGGGAGGCAAACCGTAAGAGACTCTTAAATACAGAGAACAAACTGAGGGTTGACTGGGGTGGTGAAAATGGGTGATGGGCATTAAGAGGACACTTGTTGGGATGAGCACTGGGTGTCATATGTAAGCGATGAATCCCTGGGTTCTACTCCTGAAACCAAGACCACACTGTACGTTAACTAACTTGATTTTAAATCAAAAAAAGAAAAGAAAAAAGCATTCAAATTCACTTAATGTATCAAATAAACAATGCATAGTACTAGAAGAAGGCATCTTTTAAGTTTTGGATGCTGGATTCACCCTTGGCCAAGGAGTAGAATTTTATGGTCATGCGTGCACGCGCGCGCACACGCACACACACACACACACACACACACACACACACACACACACACCCTTAAGTCCAAACCAGGATTTGCTTGCAGTGATACAGATCAGCAGACCTAGCTTCACCTTTTGCTATTTTACTCACTTCTGTTTGTGAAAATGGCACGAGGCGTGGGTCTTACCTTTTCACTACCAGCTTCAGGGTTTTATGAGAGCCCTTCACCAGGCAAATCGCCTCCTGTCTAAACCCTGAGAGACCAATGTCGTTGATGCCGACGATCTCGTCCCCGGCCAGTAACTTGTCCACTGCCGCAGCTTTACTTCCTTCTTCAATCTGCAACAAAGACGCACGTGCCATGAGCCTCCAAACAAACAAAGCAAGTCCCCAGAAGTCAGCCAGGAGCAACGTGCCTGTGACGTGTGCCGCCCACAGCTCTATGACTGGCTCTGGGATCGGCCAGGACCCCATCTAGGCCCTGAGGCTGCACGGATTCCTATTTGGCGAATGAGGGACACATCCCTCACCCAGCGCTGCCTCTGTGGGGACCTGGGCTACCTTAATCGAGGGAACAGGAAAGAACGCATGCGCTCCGGAACACGCACGACCCAAAACGGTGGATCTAAAGATACAGGGCCCTTTTCTGGAAATCCTTTATCCAAACAATAATGATGGGTTATTTTTATTATGTACTGTTTCTCATACATTAATCCCAGGCCTAGATTCTTGTAACTGCTTTACTGAGAGAGAGTTCAAATACCAGAAAACTCACTCACATAAAATATACAAGTGAATGACTTTTTAGTATATTCACAGAACTGTGGAACCATCACGTCCTAAACCCAGAAGAAACCTGGTAGCCGTGAGCAGTCACCTCCTGATCCCCTCCAGCCCTGGCCACCACTAACCCACCTCCTGTCTCTATGCATTTGCCTTTGCTGGATAGCTCACAGAAAAAGGATCCTACAGGGGCGCCTGGGCATTTCAGGTGGTTAAGTGTCTGACTCTTGATTTTGACTCAGGTCATGATCTCACGGTTTGTGGGACAGAGCCCTCCATTGGGGTCTGCGCTGACAATGTGGAGTCGGCTTGGAATTCTCTCTCTCCCTGTCTCTCTGCCCCTCCCCTGCACTCTCTCTCTCAAATAAATGAACAATGGGGCGCCTGTGTGCTTCAGCTGGTTAAGCATCCAACTCCTGATTTTGGCTCAGGTCATGATCTCATGGTTCATGAGATCGAGCCCTGTGTCAGGCTCCGCACAGGTAGCATGGAGCCTGCTTGGGTTTCTCTCTCCCTCTTTCTTTGTTGCTCCCCCACTTGTGCTCTCTCTCTTTCTCTCATAATAAATAAATTTTAAAAATTAAACATTTAAACAAATAAAAAGAATTCTGCAACATGTGGCATTTTTAAAAACGTTTATTTATTTTAAGAGAGAGAAAAAGAGAGTGCACACTCAGGGGAGAGGCAGAGAGAGGAAGAAAGAATCCCAAGCTGGCTTTATGATGTCAGCACAGAGCTCCACTCAGGGCTCAAACTCATGAACTAAGAGATCATGACCTGAGACAAAATCAAGAGCCAGATACTTAACCAACTGAGCCACCCAGGCGCCCCAAGAAATCTTGGCCTTTAAATACTAAACCTAGTTTTTTTCTATACAGTAATAATAATCTCAGCAGCAATTAACCCTGTCTGCTTTCTCTACTAGTGCTTGGCAAACTATGGCCCATGAGCGAAATCCAGCCAGATGCGCCCCCCCCCTTTTTTGTAAATAAAATGTTACTGCAATAGAACCACACCCACTTGCTTACATATGGCTACAGGACAGCAATGAGTCGCCTGGCCCACAAAGCCAAGAATATTTACTACTTGGCTTGTTACAAAACAGTTTGCCAACCCCAGTTTTATACCAAAAAGCAATTATCTTTACAAACTGCTAGGAAAACCGGTGAACAAAGTTAACGTTTGTGAGAGTATCTGTGTACAGTCTGAAAGTTCACTGCCTGACTGTTTGCCGCGGCCAACCTAACAGTTACTTACAAAGCCCTCACAAAGCAGTAGAGCAGTACATCTTTCCTCCGGGTTAAAAAACTGGGTACTAAGCAACTTACATGCCTCAGTTCTGCAAGTGAATGATAGTTGCCTCAAATCTCCGCTTAAATCTAAGGACGACGTTTGAACTCTCAGGTTAACCAAGCAATTATTCATTGTAAGTCAACACCATCAATGCAAGTAAACGACCGCTTCTTAACCGAATGGATGGCTTCACATTTTTGTTAATAACTGGTTTCAAAAGTCTAGACAATTTTATCCTAACACAGTAACAGACACGTTGTAAATAAATTTCCACCTGCCCAAGATTACACGTTCAGCCAGGTACAGTCAAGGTGCAGGTGACATTCAGTGGAGTGCTTAGGTTTTTGACACGTCCTGTGTGAGAGGCCAAGGGGCTGTCCAGGTGGAGGGTCCGTGGGCAGCTGGCTGTGGGATAAGAGCATCCAGGGAAAGGTGGCCCACCCATGGAGTGACCCCAAGCAGAAGATATTTAAAGATTTGAGGGGCAGGGTGCCTGGGTGGCTCAGTAGGTCAAGCGTCCAACTTCAGCTCAGGTCATGATCTTGTGGTTCATGGGTTCAAGCCCCGTGTCGGGCTCTGTACTGACTGCTCAGAGCCTGGAGCCTGCTTCCATTCTGTTTGTCTCTCTCTCTCTCTCTGCCCCTCCCTGGCTTGTGCGTACACACTCACTCTCTCTCAGAAATAAATAAAACTTAAAAAAAAAAAACAAACCAGGGGGCTGGGGAGACTGAAGGAGGCTGCCCGGACAGAAGACAGAGTCACGGGCAGATAACCATAGAGATGGAACCCTGGATCCCCAACAATTAGAGCGCTGGTGAAAGAGGGCACCAGGTAAACCACAGGAGATAAAGGAGAAAGGGTGAGCATCGCAGCAGCCTCCACCACCGAAGTTCACACTGACGAGGACGGCCGGCGACCCTGCCCGTGCGGGGAAAGCCCCCAGGGGAAGCTGACCAACGCTCCGGCTGGGGTCACTACCAGAGCCCGCAGCACTGTGGTGGCTGGGGTCAAGACCAGCACCTGTCCCCCAAAACAGGGACCCAGACGCTGCAGGCCCTCAAGGCAGCATTCAAGGCGTGCCTGGGTCAGTTTCATCTCCTCTCTCTCTCTCTCTCTCCTCTTGGCGCTAAGTACACAATCTGGAGGGCAAAATCTAGAATACAGAACACATGCAGATGGTAACTTGGGTCTGTACCCAGCGAACTATTGCCTGAATTCCATTAGGTAAATGCTTTGGTGGCATGAGTGCAAAAAAAGCCATCTGCGTTCAGAGTTTGTACTTATTCTTTCAGTAAGCATCTACAGAGCAAGTACTATGCGCAAAAACCGCTAGATACTGGACAGTGCGTCTTGCAAGATGTAGTTCCCGCCTCGAAGACATTTCTAGGCTTAGAGGCCAATGCTTCTCAACCTGTAATGTGCACACAAGTCTCCCAGGGTTTAAAATGCAGATCTGGGGGTGGCTGGGTGGCTCAGTCAGTTAAGCATCCCACTCCTGATTTCAGCTCATGTTGTGATCCCACAGTTTGTGAGTTTGAGCCCTGCATCAGGCTCTGCACTGGCAGTGTGGAGCCTGGTTGGGATTCTGTCTCTCTCCCTCTCTCCCCTCCCCCCCGTCTCTGCCCCTCTTCTGCTCATGCCCTCTCTCTCAAAATAGATAAATAAAACTTAAAAAAAATGTTTTTTAAATGCAGATCTGATTCAGCAGGTCCTGGGTGGGGCTTGAACTTCTGCGTCTCTAAGACCATCCTTAACAAGCTCCCAGGAGAGGAGACGATGCTTTGAGTTGCAGTGTAGAGATATAGGGACAGATAAATGAAGTACCAGACGAGTGAGAAGTCGGCTTGCCCTCTATGGTGTGGATGCACACTCCAGGAACATTTTCACAGAGCCCATGGCATTTGGTGCAGCCTTGAAGGATGCGCTTTTTGGAGACTCATCACAACACACAAGGGCCAGGTACCATGAGGAAGCCACAGACCATACAAGTTTTTTTAAGTTTATTTATTTATTTAAAGGAAGAGAGAGAAACCCAAGCCGGCTCTGCACTGACAGTGCAGAGCCCAACACGGGACTCAAACACACGAACCATGAGATCATGACCTGAGCTGAAGCCAGGAGTCGTCACTTAATGGACTGAGCCACCCAGGCGCCCCTGAATCACACATTCGAAAGGGGTTAAAATGGTGAGTTTTGTGTCAGACACATTTAGCATACTCAAAGTCACACATTCTTCTTTATCTACAAGAAAAGATCCTGACCCCACGATAAGAGTGAACATAAGTGTCCTCCCTACAGTGATTCCCTTTGAATTGCAGTGAAAGAGAACGTCTTTAGGCAAAACCACCGTGACTAATGACCTGCAGGGTCTCAGGACAGTTGTTAAGGCAGCAGGCCCTGGAGGGGACACGTCACCGGTGTCTGGCTCAGCTACCACTTGGTGGGTTTCTCCGCGTCATCCCCACAAACCCTTCTATGGACAAGTTGTGCGAGACTCCCGTGAAGCCCCGTCATGTCCTCCGGCTTCGCCACGGAGACGAACACCATGTTACTTCCTCTCATCTGTAAAGACTTCTCCAGTTTCTCCTCTATAAAGGAAGACTGCATTCCAAAGCCTCCTTCAGCCTCGCCCTAACGCACTCCACCTACACTTCCCAGAAAAAAAATCGGTCTGGGTTTGGGAGATAAAGTAGCTGGGGCTTTACCCTCCCCCCTGCACCCCCGCCCTTGGCTTCCTCCTCAAGACAAAGTTTCTCTTTGATATTTATTGTGCTCTTGGGGGAAGAAGCTGTAAAAGAAAAAGCAGCTTTGAAAACCTGCATTCTATACTCCCCCCCCAAACATCTCACAGCAGGTGGGATTAATTAGGCTTCAACTTGGCGAAGAACAAACCTGAAGTCGGTGCTACCCGCACAGGATAAGGACTCTGCCTGCCCGCACGTGACAGTGTATCCAAACCCAACGCTGATGGGCATTCCGTCCCCAGGGCCACACGCTACAAAGGACCGTGCTTGGCACTGTTAACCAGTAGGGGCGACCACCTACGTGTACAGAGGGTGGGAGCCACCAGCAGGGCAGTTCCGGCCAAGGTCACCTGCTCCAACCCAGAAGAGTCCCCCGCACAACGGGAGGCGGGCAGAGACAAACCCTGCTGTGCCCACGATGCGGGCCCACGTGGCACACACTTCACACGTACAGAACGGGAGTCCCGAGCGCCCACGCCAGTCCACATATTCCACCCGGAGTCACTAACTGGCATTCCG